GGTTATGTTATACCATTTAGTATAGCATAAAATCTTAGCTAATAATCCATATCTTAATAGTATACAAGTTTTAAGCTCTTAATTGTATAAGGCAATATTTAAAAAAATCCTGAATTTCACCTAGTGTGACACATTTTCTCTATGTATCTTTTCACCTCTATTTTATCCCCACCCCTCCAGAAACTACGAAATTAAACATAAATTACTCACTATAAAATCGTCATTGCTCAAACAAACCACAATTTTCATAGCCTTCAATTTTGTTTGGCCACAGAGCTATCAAATAAAAAATCAGACCCCTCCTGCCACATCCTCTCTTTCACGATTCGTTAAAAGTTCTCTCTTATGTTTAATTCTACATTATCTATAAACAACAGAAAACCAAGGTTTTCATCTATCAAATGACATATTATATTACAGTTTTCTGAATGGAGAACTGTCAGTTTCTCTATTAGTACAAACTTCATTCCCACAGAAAAGATAACAACTAGCTTGGATGAATTTGTAACAGCTCTTGTCACACAGATAAAAATCCAGAAAAATTGTGATTGTTAGAGGAAATTGTCTGCTTTTTGCATGCTATTTGTCTATGTTCTTTGGTGCATTATTTAATTGAATAAAAATTATTTAATGAACTACTACTATTAGTATAAAAAAGTAGGATTGAGTATCATCAATAGTAGACAGCAAAAAAAATAATAATACTCAGCTAAGTACTTTATTTCTTGTTTTTTATGTTTATTCTACATTTATTATTTTAAAAACAATTAAAATGTAAAAACAGATTCTTTTTAGGTTAGTTAATGTTAGATTAGGTAAAATGAGTAGCTCGTGGGTAATGTAATTCAATAGCATAATGTGAGCTGCACGTTACCCAAGTGATTTACAACATAGAATAGTGCCAATAGTAGTTAGATATGGTTTACAGGGCAATAAAACAATAAAATTTAATTATAAATAGATGTATACTGTTACAAGTTTAAAGCTATTAAGGATAAACAAATGTAGTTTCATGCTAAATTTGAAAAAATTCTAGAAAGAAAAGGAGTGTAATTTAGATTTATTTTTCTGGTGGTTATGAGGTCGCTCAAATTGACCAACCTTGTATAGAGTTAGGGTGGAGAAAATACACAGATAAAAAATAAAAGTTTTCTGAAAATAAACATTTGAAATGTATTTAGGAGGTCTTAGAGATTACACAAATGAAAGTTGAGACTTTTGAGATGAAGGAAAGTATTTTTAATCTTAACATGAAAAACCAATTTGCACACGGACTATTCTAAACAAATACTTGATATATTCATCGACAAACCTTTTGTTAGTTTATTAAAAATACTTCACTAAAAAAATATGTTAACTGAAAGACTGCCAATTTTCATGTAGATATACACACTGTATCAAAAGTTAGTAGTATCAGATCTATTGACCAAACCTATGTGGAGAAAGTTAATGTCACCTCTTGATGTGTCTATCCAAAACTCTTTGATGAAGAAGTTTTATTAGCTATTTATCACACACTAATATATTCACATTGAGAGGACAGATATTATGTATTCACCATACCTGTCAACAGAGGTTTAGATTCTGAAACTGTTGGTAAGATGTTTTCATTGGCAGAGAGTGATATAAAAAAGGCAAAGGGTACAATCCACAAACAAAGTGTGAAATATGCCAAAACCTAATATGGAAAAATTTATACAGAACCAATATCTTAAAACCATAAAGTTTCATGTGTACAAAAATTAATCCAAGATTTTTTTTCTAAATACATAAAACATTTAATAATAAATGTACCTTATTTTTTTGAATATTTAATTGTGATACTTCTCATTTATCAGAGAAGATCTTAAGTATTTGAATGCTCTTAGGATAAAAAAATGGTCTTCCCAGGCCAGGCTTAAAAATATTTCTGTTTGTGGTAACCCAACCAACTGCATGAAATTGAGGCCAAATTGACACTATGACCACCAACTTCTGCTAATGTACCGACCCATCTAACAAAATTTAAAACTTTAAAATTTTTATCACCATATTATGGCTATATTTTTTCTTAGTCATATAGTCCACGACAATGTGTGAGGGCATCACCTGATTAACAATCGACAGCTCAACTAATGTGAAACTAACAAACATATGACCTAGCAAAACTGCAGAGAAGAATTTACTGTTGATGAGTATAAATCAACAAAATGGCAAACACAAGTCTGTTCAGTGTATCAGTCTCCGAAAAATGTTCTTGCCGATTGAGGATTACGATCAAAACCAAATTAATTCTGATTGGAAACTTATCCATGTGGAGGGAAGTATTTGTAGATTCACTTGGTGAACAAGACGAAATGGAAGAACAAACTATAAAATTTGCCAGAACAATCAATTCAATTTCATCGATCAAAGTCAATATCAACCAGCAAGTGTGTGTTGCAAAAGAATTTGAAATTTCTGTTATTCTCTTTATAGAATAAATGTTGATAATATTGTATTCATGGTTTAAAATGTTATGTTTTTGGTGATCAAGGAACTAGAGGTATTTACAAAATGCTTTTGCTAAGCTGTTTAAAAAACAAATTACCTACCTACCCACATTTTAAATCAATTTAGGGTTGCAGCAAACAAAGATATTTTAAAGCCTGTCCTCAACAATAGTTCTGAATTCATACATTTTTGTAATGTTTATATATTACATTAAAACAAAAAGTGAGTTAATTCTATAAAAAAATTTTAAACGTATGACTACAAAATAACTGGTTTTCTCAAGACAAATCACTACCAAGTAATCAAATTATACTTGCTAAATCATGCAAAATTTACATGCTATAGTATTTTTTTTTATGAAACTATTTAAACAATGTTTAAATTTTTTAATATAATATTACAATTTCAGTAGGAATTAGCTCAGTCACCTCCTCCTTCTCCAATGTCGTGCAAGTATTCACAGCTTCATTCTTAAGACTATTCCTACACAGTTTGCTGCAATTCACTAAAACTACAAGAACATTTGACTATATTAAGTAGACACATGCCTAATAAAACAACATATTTGTGGAAAACCTAGTTGGTTTTAGGGATATACTTCAAAGAACACAAGTTATTAACATTCTTACAACACTATTTACAAAAGCAATAAACATTGATTTCTTAATCTATATACATTTATATGTTAAATTGCTATTTGTCAAATGATTGTGTCACTAAAGGAGAGTATTCATAAAAGAAAATTGAGGAAATAATATTAAAGCATCAGTTTTTATCTATTAGTATATACCTCAAAGTGCTTTACTAAGCATGCTGTTTCTCTACAAGAATTTTAGTATCTATAAGGATTTGGTCTACTGAAGTGAATACAACAATATACCAGAAAATCATATCAAAATTAAAACACTCACTTATACTGTGCATATACACATATCAAAATTTAAAGTTTTTATTTTCTTGATATAGTAAACAATCATTCAAATTAAACTAACCTCTGAAAAGTGATAATACACACTTCCAAAGTAGTTGAAGGCAAGGTAGTGATTGATGACTAAAAGAGCTGGAAACAAAAGTTATGTACATTTTGATCAACATGTTTACTTGCAGAATAATATATACAGTACAAGACCCAGTTGTGAAAAAAATAAGTAATACAATTACAAATGTAATAAAGAAATAGGCAATATTTCATCATGTACCAAATGTATGGAAAGATTTTATGTAACACTCCTAAGTTGATTGTATATGAACTTAATCACTAATTTCAAGCTTTAGAACATTACACATACTGTTATTTTATTCTTTCCTCTGAATCAAGCTGGTTGAATCAATTTTCAACAGTTAACTGCTTCAACATCAGACAAGAAACTTCTGAATTTGCATCATCACATCAGAATGCATTCAGTAATTAAGTTGTTGCAAGTTTTATAGACAGCTTTGGACATACAAACAAAATCTTGTTATAATTACATTTAATTAATGTCAAGGTCTTCTGCTTTTCAATTATCAATATCAGTAAAGTAAAAGATACTCACCAACTGTTACAATGAATGGTGCTGATGTAAGAATAAAAAATGGGAAGGTTCGCAGTATAAAAAGATGTCCAATTTGATTTGCTGCTCCACATAAAATTAAAGAAAGTGGAAGATCCTCAAAAAGGAACAGACATACATAAATACACAGTGTCACCTGAAACCAGAATAATAAAAGTGTAAATAAATGGTTTTTTTCCTCCACCACAACAGCATTAAAGACAACAAAAAATTCCAGTATAATAGGCCTATGCAAGCCAGTTATTTTAACATTTACACAAACTGTTAGTAAGAAACCATTTTAATTGTATTGCACTCTCTCACAAATAACTTACTTGCTGAATTTATGCTGCACAATACTTTCATTTATATGTAATATTCAAACCATTACTTTTGCAATAGGTGGAAGGAGAAGGATCCCTCACCTTCAACCCAAGAAAAATCCAAGTCCCATCTAGCTGGACATATCCACTGGGAACTGCTTGAGAAATACTTTAATGGGGTATCCACTTGCAGGTAACACACAAGCCCTACATCTGATGGGCCCAAGCAGTCTCATAGTGGTGGTGGGATAGGCACCACTCTCGGAGAAACTTATCAATTTGACTTCCTCAGCAACTTGGAACAAGGGAACTAAGGGCTATCCCATACTACAACTAAAGACAACAAGTGTGAACCAGGTGTACAGGCAGGACTTTTCCTGGTGCTGTTTTTTTTTCTTGTAAAATTTGCAGAAATGGCCATTTAAATTTTATAGATATACTACTGAAACAGTCTTGTATAAAACCACATCTCAACAGTGGGCACTGAGCAGGGGCAGATGGGTCTAACATTTTTCATACCCCCCTGCTTGATTCAGATTTACAGGTAAGCATTCCCTGTGAGGCAACCTCAGCTACTCAGCAGGATCTGATGACACCAAACATAATCAACATGGTGTTTAGTTCCACCTGATAAGTTTTTGTTTGTGTTTGAGTGTGTTTCTCCTCATCCACTATTTTTATTTTGTTTGTTAAATGTGTACAAAAGGAATGGTACACACATGGTGGTGTCGTGAAATGTGTGAGGGACATGAAGATCAAACTAGATCAGCAATGGAGTTGGAAAAGATAATTGACAAACAAAACTATCACACTAGAGCATTCATGAAGATTAGAGAATGGTGACTGGAGGGAGGTGAAAATCTGAGGCATATGAAACTGCCCAGTGATGTAACTAATGAGAGATTAATGGTTTAGCACTCGCATGCCAGACTGCAAGATCTACACCAAATATTGGAATTGAAAGTAGGCTGTCATATGCCTGATCTGATGGGAGGTGATGATAAAAAGCATTCAATCAGACTCACCCAAAAATAAATATGCTAACAGATGAACTGACAAAGCCAACCAGTTAAAGTGGAAGGGGATAAGTCCCAAGACAGAGAGGTAAGGCATGGAAAAACAGGTGTAGCAGTTTCCACGAAATGGGGTAGTTCAAGTGGGATAGCAATGAAACACTCTTAAGTGGACATAAAAGATGATTAGGAATAGAACAATCTCACCATGAAAGAAAAAAATGGAGAGAGAGATGGGGGGAAAAATAACTGATCACCCTCCTGGGCAGTCCAAATCACTGAAAGAAAGGAGTGGTTGAGGAACAAATCAACAGGTCCTTATGAATTAGAGGATGGAAGATGTGAATATCCGAATGAAAATTACCCCAAGCATGTAGGAGAAAATTGCTAAAAGAAAGGGAACAGTGCCAGGCAAGAGGGGAAGTTGTGGATTACACTACTTGGTAACCAGCAATCACTGAAACAAAGAAACTATCTTTTTGGTAGTTGATGTAAGAAGCAACCATAAAAGTGTAAGAATGGGTCATCATAAGATCACTCATGTATTTATGATGGCCTTACAACTACAACTAAAGATTTTGGCAAGCCTGAAAAGTTATATATGTTTCAAGAATGTTGATAAGTAAGGACCTCGGAAAGAGTGGAGGTGTCAAGAACTGCCCCCATCTTGGAAAGAAAGCATTGGTAAAGATGCAAGTTGAGTAGAAGCAAGTAGGGTGGAATACTTCAAATCATGTCAAAGAGATCGAGTACCACATAAAAGCACAATGACAGAAAAGGGATCACAGGATATATACTACATATCCTCCAAAGCCTATTGAAGGTGACCCCAAAAGCAAGACAACCTCACACATAGAAAGAGAAGGAGAGTAAAGGACCTTCAATACCAAGATCTCCATGGTGTTAGGACACAAAGGAGGTTGTTGAACCCACCCCATATAAGAATCAAGAAACTCCCAGAAAGATGTCAAAGATGCAGAAGGTCAGAGGAAATATAAGAGGATGAGGAGAAAGAGGAGGTGGATTACAAAAAACATGGAGAGACCTGAAGAAAGAATTTCCACAACCCAGGGGTCACCAATGAATGAAGGCTATAGGTGTGAAAAGGGGGAAAATGTAAGCACCATTGGCTACAGAGTCAAGAACTGGATCCAAAGATAGGTTAATGCCAAATGCCTCAATGGCCTGCCCACTGTGAGGGGGAAAGGCAAGTATACATTAAAAGACAAGAAACAGAATATTCATAGTCCTACTGGATACTTAAAGTTGGGTAGCCAATAGATGTATCCATGGTCTAGTGAGTCAAGAAATCAAAAAAAGATTGTTGAGAAGTAGCCACAGCCTGAGAATCCAAGGAACTGGAACACTCCAAAGACTGGTGCAGTGCAAAAAAAGAGGCAAGATTTAGGTCAAAGAAAGAACAGGAATGGAAACAGACAACCAAAAGGAAAACACCCACATTGAGAACATCCCAAGAACAGAGAAACCAATATATAAAAGAGGCAGTAGAGGAAGAAATAGAAACAAAAGGCACAAACAAAGAATAATAGGTGGTCTCATCAAAACAATCGAGGTCACAATAAAGAGCCACAGTGAGGAGGTGAAGAATGGACATATAGCAAAGGAATAAAGATAAGACAACAATAAGCAGATTGTTGGAAAAAAACAAAGACAGAGAAAGTGAAGCACCCCCAAACAGATAATAGGAACACAAGATTGGGGTGCAAAAAATATATAAGGGTCATGACCTCAGGACATAGCAAAGGAGTCACAAAAACAAGGAAGATCATAACCAATAGAGGTGGGACAGAAGGCCCAAAACATAAAGCAACCTAAGATTCATTATGATATACAGGCAAGATAAACAGAAAGGCATATACCCAAGTTATGAGAACAATAAGCAGAAAAGGAGGTATCTATTCTTTATCAGAGAGATGAACCAGAAGCAAAGGCTGGAGGTGGAAGAGCTGGCCAAAATTGGACACGGGTGAGGCAGGCTCCACAAAAGGTAATGAAACAGAATGACAATATAATGAACTGTAGAATAATTAGGCAGAAGAAACCTCCTGTTGTACAACAGTGGTACCAAAATGTTTTAAAACATTAGCAGTGAACATGTTGTCATACCATGATTCACCACACCCCTTTAAGATCATAGTAATTTAATATGCCCTCTATAATCATACTACTTTGCTAAGGATTAAATCCTAAACCTGTCACACACCAGGCATTTGCTCTACTAAGTGAGCTAAATGGATAAGCTCCACAAACAAATAAGGTACCTCTGATTGCCATTGATATGGTACAAAAAAGTTCCTGTAAAGGAATGCATAAGCCTTGAGCCTTTTTTTACAATCATTGTTAGAAGTAGAAATGTGATGGCTAGAGAAAATAAAGTTGCAATTAGGTGGATGGAATGTAAGTGCAATGAAGACAAAAGTAGTGTAGCAAAAGTTAAAGAAAAGCAGAGATCAAAATGACTGACAACTCAGAAAGTTCAGGCACATCTGAACACTTTTCTTTGTTTATTTTGAATTTTGCACAAAGCTACTTGAGGGCTTCTGTGCTAGCCATCCCTAATTTAGCAATTAGAGACAAGATGGAAGGTAGCCAGTAAAGACCACCCACCTCCAACTCTTGGGCTATTCTTTTACCAACAAATATGGGATTGACTGTCACTTTATAATACTCCCATAACTGAAAAAGATCTGTGGAAAAGTGAGTAGTATCTCTGAAATCCTCTATTCAAAATAATCTTCTTTATTCTTACAATAAACTATCCCAGACTACTTACCATTCTTTAGGTGCTAACCTTATAATTTGAGGTAGGGATGTAGAATATTCTATATTTTGAAAAAATAGTAATCCTTAATGTACACCACAAAACTAGCTTAAGGTTTTCCATCGAAGCTATTACATATTCACACCAATATATGGCAGCAATGCCTGAATATGTTATGCTGCTGTTACTCTATGAGCCACTTTGAAGGCAAAGCCTATGTAGAATACTTTCCCTTTTGCATTCATAAGCTCTCATGTGATATACATGGAACTGATTTGCTGATAATACACAGCCTAGATAGATAGATTACTACTCCCAAATATTAGTGACCTCTAGGGAATTATTCATTAATGTGAAATATAATTACCTGAAATATAATTCTAAGTAATGTGAACTTATTATAAAAGTTTAGGTTGTTGCTGTTTTATAGATTTATGCTTGTTGTTTGTATTGATTATAAAAGTTTGGTTGTTGCTGTTTTATAGATTTATGCTTGTTGTTTGTATTGTTATTTTTCATAAATATACCTTACATGCAAATTACATATCGTAAAGTTAAATTTGTGGTGTTCATTCCAAATTTCGGTAGCTGAATATACTAAAAATAAGTGAAAATGAAATAAGAATAAAACTAGAATTATTTTCTGATGTTTAGTTCAGCAATATGTGAAAACCTACAAAACTTTACTAGCACAGAAAATGCTGCCCAGATACATTGTTGTGAATATAATAATCTAGTACTTTAAGATCAACACTTCTTCTAATGTATATATTCAAAAAGTAAAGAAAATTAATGTAAAATACATTGTGCATGAAAGGTATTACCTTGTTATGCAACACAGTTTTTACTACATTACGTAAGGACTAGTAAAATGATGAGTAACTCATTAAAGTTACCAGAAAAAAGTAATTATACAAATACAGTATAAAATCTGATCCTCTCTATGTCCCATTGCTCATTTTGCTATATAATATGTGGACAGAAAAAGATCATTTGGTCCTTCAAGGTGAAAGGTAAATATTTAAATAAATTCTTTAAATTTCACAGAATTGTCAAATCCCCTCTTAAATTCTTGTAAAGAACTGACCATAAGTCAATCACCTTGTTACAAAAATAAAACTGCCTTAACTTGGAAAAATTGTTACTCATTGAAAGTAAACAATAGATGAAAAACACTGTAAATTGATTTTGAAATCATAACATTTTGGGCCAATGTCTTTCACCAGGTAGTACCAAAAAGTGTTATAAAATCTAAACAAGAAAATAATTTTTTGAATGGCAATAACTGAATAAGGAAATGGAACATATAGAAAGTACTGCATGTACATTAATTATTGAAAAAATATTGTTGTGTAGGTGAAACAAACAATATAGTAAAATACAGATAAATGATGTATAAGAAGTTTTGTTTGTTTGAAGTTAAGCACAAAGCTACACAAAGGGATATCTGTGCTCTTCCCACCACAGGTATCAAAACCCAGTTTCTAGCATTGCAAGTCTGCAGACATACTGTGCCACTGGGGGGCTATATAAGAAGATAAGAAAATTAAATAAATGTGAGTAAATGAAAAAGTGTAACAAGGTAACCTGATATATGGGAAAGAAAATACGATGAAACTTATTTTTATAGGTACTAAACTACTTCAGAATACAACATAAAGAATGGTTAATTTCAGTGTTTTGTTGGGATTTTTTGTAATTCCTTCATTTCAAATATTTTTCTTGAACTTGTAATCAAATCTAGGGCAATCTTTTTCTTGATTTGCTTCTTTATACATTATTGTCAAATTAATAAAGTTAATATTTTACTGTTTATAGAACTACAAAAATTAATTAGTACATATTTATCTTGGCTTTCATAATTTCTGAAACAAAATGACAGTTTCAGTTAGTATTATAACACTCAGAACAATCCTCTACAGTCACTTACACCTCTCTCAAACTTCATGAATTATGAAACATACTGGTATTCAATATCAAAAATGCACATAAACTGCAACTAAAAAAACCAAAGATGAGAATGTAAGATTTAAAACTCATGATCAGAAAATTATAAAACTCTGGAATGGAAGTTTTCTGGATTATTTTGGACTAACAATTGAAATCCTGTGAAATATACATATACATTTCTATGTGTGCATTACATATACAAGTATGGTTAAGGCTTTCATCTTGGGCAAAAGTTTAAACCCATAATTAATCAAAATGACTGATATAGAACTATAACTTGAATAAGAAGCAAATGCATCTAATGTACAATATATTTTGAAAATGCAAAAGAATGATTAAATTGTTCTAAGACAAAAAAGAATGATGTAGTCAACATTTTGGCCAAATAATATTCATCAGGACCTAGAAGGTCAAATGACAAAAACACTGACCACTTCATTCTTTATCTCTTTGAGCATTTTTAACCATTTATTTGTATTTTGTGGACTATTAGACTGCAAATTATATCTACAATTTTTCATTAAACAAAAAATACAAATAACAAAAAAAATAAACTGTCATAGTAACAGTTCCATAATGATAGCCCCATTAGTGATGTAGATATTGGAATTTTTGAATATCATGATGCTCTTGGATTATTCAGTATTATGACTGTTTGTTTCAGTCTGTAATAGTATTATAAATTTTCACTTAACTAATTAGTGAAAACAGCACTGATAATTTTCAGTATTTAGAAAATAACCTAACAAAATTACTGAGTTACTGTGAAGTATTTACTGGAACTTTTAACACTTAGTTTGTTTTTTTTTACAGAGAAAAGAGTACCATCATAAACTTGGAGTCTGGTCCACCATTACCAGTGTGACTAAATATTTCATAAAAGTCTGCTAGAAAAAAATGGTTTGTTCTGGTATAGTAGTTGAAATTCTGTGAATCATTCATTAAACATGTTTAATGAAGAGAAGCCTTTCATTTAGGGTTAATCAATGAGATGAGCAAGTGGTGTTGTATAAGCTGACAATGGCCAGACTTTTTGCACATGCTGTTATTTTTTCAAAGTAATTCCAGTTCATATGTAAATATATTCAAATATTAATTTAAAAACATAGGCATGAATTGTATAAAAGTAGATCAAATAAATATATATATAATTATCATAATAAATAAACTTAATATTCTGAAAACTGTTTGATCGTGAAGTATAAGTTCAAGGGAGTTCCAGTTCAATCTACACTTTGATCAACGTGTGTTATTGGGTTATACTAGTTTCGGAGAAATCCACTCCTCATCAGTAATGCTGAAGACAAGTTAGCCAAAGAGATATAATCTGGACCTATATCATAGTAAAAAGTATCACACATATATGATGATATATGTTTGATACATATAATTATCAATTATGCTATAAAAGACAGAAATGTATTTTTTGTGTTAATATAATTATCTGAAACTTAAACAATATCAAAACCTAGTGAAAAAAAAAAAATCTCACCAAAATCAAAAATCTAATGATTTTCCCAGTCATAACAGTATACTCTTCAACAATATCTGCTAAATAGTAAAGTCCAGCAGCTACATGTAGAGAAACAAAATATATTAAAGGTCCACAAGAATTATACCAGGAGGGAGAAAAAGAACATATTCAATAAACAATTACAGCAAATGGAAATTTATTGACATAAAACACCAAGACAACAAATGACCATTCAGTCAATCAAGACTGTACTTGAAGACAAACCCTTGAGCAAAATAAAAGTAAAAACAGAAATTTTACATCCAGCCTTTATTTTTCAGAAATCTGAGTCCCCTCTTAAATTCTCAGAAGGTGCCTACCTCCACTACTATCAATGGCAACTCCTTCCATAAACTTATCAACCTGTTAGAAAATAAAACTGTTAACTAGAACCAAGCCTGTCTTTTTCAGATTATGTTATTCTTTTACCCTGTTGTCTTCAGGATACAGCAAAAAGAGATCAGGGGTCTTTATCATATTAATATACCAAATAATCTTGTAAACTTCAATAAGGTCACCTCTTAATCTCTTTTTCTCAAGAGAAAAGCTTATTGGCCATAACCTACAGAATTATCCTATTAGCACTCCTCTGAACCCTTTTTAATAACTCAGTATCTTTTTTAGATAAGGCAACCACAACTGCACAACACTCAAAGTAAGGCCTAATTAATGATTTCTATAAAGATAATTACACCTTTTGACTTGTAATCAATATGTCTGTCTAGAAGAAGTACTACATAAAATCACATTAGCTTTACTACTATGTCACAACTAAGCACTACCTCACTGGCTTTTATGAATTATCCACCACAACGCCTACACCTATTTCTTCATGTAGTCATACTGTTGACTGTGTCTCATTTATATTAACTGTGTCAGTGAAATTACACTTACTGTAACTAAAGGTTCTTTAACTGCTAAGTATTTGTTCAACTTATCAGTTGATTCATCATTCTGGAATTATCAATAAATTTCTATAATTTGCCGATGATATTAAGGTTTTGGCTGTTGCTGGATGTCAGGAGGATGCTGATACTTTACAAAAGTATTTAAATTATTTGCAAGTTTGTCAAATAAATGGTAAATTAATATTAATAATAAATGCAAAAAAATGCATGTGAGTTACCATACTTTAAACTATACAATATAATTTTGGTGAGAATAACCTTAACAGTGTTACAGAACAAAAGGAATTGGTGTTTTAGTTGGTTAGTCTCTTAAGCCATACAACAGTGTACTGTTGCTAGAGGTAGGGCAAAAAGGATTTTAGGATGTGTTTACAGGAATGTTGAATATAAATAATGAGGTTATTATTTCATTGTATAGGTCACTGGTTAGGCCTCAATTGGAATACTGTGTCAAAGTTTTGGGCTCTTACCATACAAATGACACAGAATTATTGAAAAGAGTTCAGAGGAAGGCTACTAGGATGTTACCTGGGATGGAAAGGTTGTCATACGAGGACAGATTAAGATCTTTGAAATTGTTTCTATTGAATAAACAAGCATTAAAGAGGATCTAACCAAGATGTTTAAAACTGTTAAGAAAATGAATAGTGTTAATCCATAATTTTTTGTATTTAATGGTGAGAACGATGGGACAAGTGGACACAATTACAAGTATTAGCAGGGTAGAAATCATCTTCAGCTAAGACAGCTTTATTTTTCAAACAAGGTGGTTGGCCTTTGGAATAGATTGCCTTCAGATATGGTGGATGCAGTGAATTTAAGAAAAAGCTAGACAAATATCTAAATAAAGGCTAGCTCAGAGTTTTTTTTAATAGTTTAGTAGATGAAATAGCCTCAATAGGCCAACAGGCCCCTTTTTGTACTTAAATAAGGAGGGTTATCAAAAATTATACAGAATTTTTAAAATAGTTCAACAAACATATATGACATAAAATTGACAAATGTAGTTGATACATTGTAAAATTATAACAAATATGACTAATCACCAGAAAGAGCATTTTCTTCCCAATGTTTTGATGTATTAGCTTTGTCAAAGGATAATAATTGTAAATTATGTAGACATAACTACTCCTTGATAAAGCTAATACAGCAAAACACTGGGAAGAGACAAACTTTTTCTAGTGATTAGTAATATGCATTATAATTTTTACAGTATTTGCAATTCTCCAGTATAATGTGTACTGGTAAAAAATAAAATGTAGTCATAAAGCATTTTTCTCTCTATGTTCAATGTATAAATACACCTATTTAAAGCGTTACATTTATTATGTACAGAACAAACATGAATGGAAGCTAGGAAGGCAAAATCAATATCAGAAAAGTTATCTCACTCACTCAATAGTATTGTGATAAAAATATATGAAGTAGTGGGAAGCATCTCAAATTATAGGCTACATAGGAAAAACAAAAAATAAATAAAACAGTGGAAGGCCTGTACACAGAAAAGTATCAAAATGTCCCCTTCCAAATGTTGATCATTTCTATGCCCACATAAATAATCTACAAAATTTCAGATCATTATTCTTTATCCTGAATGAATAGTAGCTAAAGATAAATCCGATTGATGAAAAAGATGATTACATGAATTCTGAGCTTGTTAAGAAAAAGTTGGGAAGTTTAAACAATAACAAGTCTCCTGGATTAGATATATTTCCCCAAGGGTTTTAAAGGAGATTAAGGATTGGATATGTCACTCATTGCCAAAACTTGCAAATCCTTTAGTGGGCAGATGCCACAGGATTGGAAGTTGGCTAATATTACTCCTCTTTTTAAGGGAGGTGATAAAAACTGTCCAGTCTGCTATTAGTCTTACATGTATTGTGGGAAAGGTTTTAGAAAGTCTGATAAAAAAAGATGCTTTGCAAAATAATATAACAAATTTTAAATTTTTTCTTTGATTTTAGCTAACATGGTTTCATTAGGGGAAAATCTTACCTTACGAAATTTTATGTGATAATAATAATATTTATATTAAATCAATAAAAAAATTTATTTTACAAACATTACATATAGACAACAAAGAACATTTTGGTTCTTGTTCTTGCCAACCCACCCTTTGGACAAAGTATAAACTTGAAACTTTATTTCTCAGGAAATTATCAACCCCTCATTTAAATTCTTGTAATTTTTAAATGCTTCCCTTCAAGTTTTAACAACAATTCATTTCAGAAATCAATCCACCAGTATGCCAAGATTCTAATAGTAATAGTATTTCCAAATTACTATGCTTCAATAACACTAACAGTCTATTACCAATAATGAGCATTGCCGTTTTTTTTTAACAAACTTTTAAACTTAAAGGTTAAACTTAGTTCAAAGTTAAAGTATATTCTATATTCATGTTGCAAACATAAGCCAACTACTGTCTACAGTACATTTGGCCTACATGATTCAGTATTCTCGTGTATTGCAAAACTCAGCCAAAAGTCAATTTATTTACGTAACTTATATTTTACTTGTAAGCAAAATTACTGAGTTAAGTCAACACACAAACTGTCATACGTTATTCTTATTGTGTACAAGTTACAACTTAACAATGTAAATCATACCATACATTATACTGCCGAATTGGGTTTGAAACAATACTGTAAATTGCAAGTGCTTGCAAATTATTGTTTTGTGATCATTCGAAAACTCACCAACTGCTAAAACTACGAAACATAACTGTACAACAGTAGCAACCCAGCTTAAAAAATACAAAAACCACATCGTGAAATACAATTTTTAGTTAATTTATAACACTTATTAACAGGTTACCACTTAAGTTCTGTGATTAGCCTACACAGTAACGCTACCTATAAATTTGTTCAAATTCTTTTATGAAATGACCAGGGGTTAAAGCCTCACATGCGAATAAATTTTGTATGAACATCCTAAATAATTATTTAAAGACGAAAGTGTGAAATATAACTTTATTAGCGTATAGCTAGTCAAAAATGGTGGGGCAAGTACTACCACCCCTAATTTCACATTCCATACCTAACTGAAATATATAAATTTTACGATATCAAGCTTAATCGACAAAGGAGGCAAAAAAGCATAGTCGAGGCAGTCAAACGTCGGTAAAT